CCCCAAAACCCCAAAACCCCAAAACCCCATAAATTTTTCTTTAATTTCAAATGTCGCCACCCAATATTAGCATCTGAGATTTCTGCTTGGATTTTATCATGTTTCAAGCCAAATTAGTCAGAAATTAGAGCAACTCGGTTCAGAGATACTTTAGAGTAAATACTAGAGCCTAGAGAAAGATGTAAGCATCAGCATTGATGACCAATAGCTCGTAAACTAAAGATATAGAAAATACTTGTCATTGTTGCTCACGTTTATAAAGTTTGTTAAGATCAAAGATTTAGTAGTTTTTTTGAAACCTTTAAAGGAGGAATTAAGAAGTGGCCTGATTTTTAGATTCTCTCTTCATTACTAAATCTATATCTTTACAAAGCTTATCCAAATCTGTTCTATAGATCAGGATAGTCGATCAAATTCCAGCGAATATCATTCCAATTGAGCATCAGATTCATAACGCTTCTACACCATATCCAAGATGAAAAGAGAAGAAATAAGTTATAGGTAAGGATACTATCCAATATCCAACAAGACAGATCACAGTTGCATATTTCTGAAATCCCATTGCTTTTATTACTCCTTGTGAGATTGCCTGAATATACTTGCCGAATCCTAAAAACACAAAGAGGGCTAGCATCTTGGATCATTTCTTTCTCAATCCATCTCCTGTAACTAACATGGCTGCAATATAATCCTTTCAAGTAAGGACTACAATTGCGTGACCAACTCACAGTAGAACTGCAGTTGCAAGTGTCACATTCACGAACATTTTTGCTTTCTGAGCCTGGCCTGCACCCAGACAGTTGCCCACAACAGTGTTGGCTGAAAATTGAAAGCCAAGGGCAACCATGTACAACGTGATCATCACGTTAAAAGTGGTTACAAAGGCTGCAAGATTTTCTTCTCCAAAGTATCCCCCCATGATGACGACGACTTCGAAGGCCCAGACTTCAGCAACGTTCATCGTCATTGAAGGAAGGCCATACTCTAAGTACTGCAGCAATCCGCTGAAAGTACTTCTGGAGATACAGCCCCAGCTGTCGGCTCGGACATTGGTGCTGAACAGGCTGATGTATAATACAGGACAGATATAGTTAAGCATGTATGTCATTAAAGTCGCATAAGCAATACCTGAATAGGAAAGATCTAGAGTATACACGAAGATGTATATCCAAAGGAAGTGAAGGAAGAAGTTCAAGATCTGAAAATTCATGATTATTTTAAACACTCCTTGTGCACCTAAAAACCTTCTGAGTAGTTCTGTCTGACAATAACACCAAATTCCTGGCATACATATTTTGATATAATCTCCCGCTAGATAAGAAGCTTTTTCCGGTTGACCTGTCATTATTAAGAGCTCAGGAGCAAAACAAAGCAAAATAGCTTGGGGTATGAATAAAGCTGTCATAATGAGTTGTGCTCTTCTATAATATTCTCCTGCTTGAGCATCTTCGTTCCTTCCAAAAGCTTGTGAACAAAGTGTTTCGACTCCTCCTGATAATCCAATACTTAGAGAAACTACCATTACACTCATTGATACTAGAGCTAGCCCGAATCCTGCCACGAATGCTGGATCTCCAAGATGGCCTGCTACAACGTAGTCAACTACTTCAGGACCTCTCATCAGAAGCATGCCACCAACAGCAGGTAAAGCTAGTTTGACTAAAGCTCAACTTTTAAAACTTACTGTATATAAGACATGCTTGTCCAAATTGCAATGGGACTGCTTCTGCAGAGACTTGATGATCCACTGACTCTTCTTTAGAAAATAGAGGTTAGAACAGCTTTAGTAATATATGTATGAAAAAGAACAATTATTGACCTGATAGAGCCAAGCAAACTACATTTATCTGCTTTCTAAAATTACTAATTTTAAAGGGTTTTTGGCTACTCTGGTGTGTATAAAAACAGTTGACTTCTTTGGACATTATTATACCTCCTTTCTAATGTATTTTTCTCTTCTGTAGCTTTTTATTTGGCTTAGTTGAACTTTATTCAATTTTGGATGCCATAATGGCTCTACTTTAGCTAAGATTTGACAGAACAACTATTCAATTTTCTTGAACAAGGATTCCAAAATTCCTTTAGCAAAATTATAAGAAATCTTAGAGTTTTAGCATCGAATAGTTGAATAAGCTAATAATTGATATATTTGTAGCTTTTATAGAAAATGTAACTGAATTAGGTATGGCTACAAAACTTAAAAGTTACCTGAGATATCTGAATCAAGTCCCGAGCGCACAAAGTTATGGTCTTCATCATCAAGTAAGGCATCAGCTATATTGGATTAGACCACAAGGTTACTCTTGTATGGACTTACCTCTAGACTTTGCTCTCTGTTCAATTTCGAATGATTCCATTTTCCTTAAATTAATAAATCCTAAATCTAAAAATACTATTGATTTGATTTCAACCAATCAAAAGCTTTGTGGGGTTTTGGGGTTTTGGGGTTTTGGGG